TCCCCCTTCTCTTCTCTCTCTTTCCTAATAAAACATTCAGTTAGTGGAAGAAAAGGGATGGTGACCATTATAGGTCTAAAAGACTAAAGTAGTCATTGGAATGAAAACCCCCCAACATTTTTAAGGATCTTGCCATTCATTGTTTCTTCTTTATAATTGTAGGTTTAACTTTCCATACTATCGCAGATCACCGTGAGAACAATAGCCCAGAAAACGGAAGCCCTCCCTGCCCACCCCCCCAGCTCTCACACACTGTGTGATTTTAGGCAAATTTACCTTGTACCCTTTTCTACTTTTAGCAAAGTAGAAGTGTTCAGCCTTATCTGGGTGGTAGAAGATCTGTGAAAATGTAATTGAACTAAATCAGTTAATTAAACAAATAAGTGCTAGACCTTGTGCTAGACATGGAGGGAAGCTCCATTGTAACAAATCAATTATTTCAGCAAATGTTTCTGAGCACGTGTTGAGCACAGATAAGTGCTAGAAGGTTTTGAGGTTCACTGTCTTGTCAAATTCAATAGAATATAATTGTTTTTAGGCTTGCATTGGATTTTCTCATTGCTGTGGTTTGAATGAAGGTTAGTCATTAGGCATATGGGGAGCAGGGAGGCCACATTTAGGTGGCTTTTTTCCTCTGCTCAGTGCCTGGGAAGTCTCCTGCTCACACTGCACACTGATTCTCAGTGGTGCTCCCTTGCTCCCGCACCCCCACTGTGGCCCCCTCACATTTCAGATACATCCTAGGGGATGGGGAAGGGTCTCTCGCTAATGCAGACATGTTAAGATGAGCTGAAGTTTGAGAAAGTGCTTTGGAAGGTGGAAATCATTGAATACGTGTTGGCAAAACTTTTTATTGCTCGTAAAAGTCACACCTATTTTTTTTTTTTAATCTCCAGTTCTGCCTTCTTTTTTTTTGTTTTATCCCTTAAAATCTGATTACTCCAGAGTGTGTGTGGCCACATGGTAGGAGCACTTGTACCTTATGTCAGTGTTACTTGGCCTGAATGAAGGGATATGTGCATAGATTCTTGGGGCGGCGAATAGAATGCATTTTCCTGCCACTAACTAAGAGCTTAGGCCTTCACCCATACCCCCTTCAAGGGAATACATGTTATTTCTTCATGTGATGTCTCAGTGACTGCACTGTAAAGTGTGGAAGTCGGTTAGAAACCGAGTTTTCACATTTTCTTGCACAGTTACATTCTTCCTCCAAAGATAAGAAAATTGCATCAACCTTCACTGGGCTCCCATGGCAACTTGTTAAATTAGGTCAAGATGTGGGGGGAGATAACATGGCTTGAAAGCCCGCCTGCTAGCCGAGTTTAGGTACATCAAATGCAGTGCTGGCTTCCGCCGAAATCTACCTTCTTACCTTACTGTGAACTGCTTATGGTTATCGAACTGATACAATCAGAAAGCTCCATTTTCTCTTGTTCGACGATACATTACGAGCCCCATCTAATTAAGAAAACAGTCTGAGACAAGTGGCCCAGTGTTTTTTATATATTTGATAGACCCAAGCAAATTGCTTTTCAGATCCTTGGAAAACACAGGCATCTCTGAATTTTTTTTTCAGGGTCAGTAGCTATAGAGTCACATACTGGATTGTCAAATAGTATTCTCTCTTTCTCTCTGTATCTCCAGCCCCATTTTATAGATAATGAAACTGAGGCATAAAAAATGTCTTATTCAAGGCCTCCTAATTGCAGCCTGCGCAGAAGGTAGCTCCTGAGTTGAA